TTTTAGAATGTCCTATTTGTTAGACACTTGAAAATGTCTCAAGAACTAATACCTAGCTGTGAGACATTTTTAAGGTCATATTTAACTGACGTTCTTTTTGCAAACAGTCCATTACTGCTGAGAAACAATTTTTAAGCATACATTTGCATGCTTAAGGGCTTCTAGAAAGAGAAACTTTATTATTTCTGTCTTTCATTTTGTGAAGTTTTTTAATGGAGCTAGATGTACAATTATAAAGTCCATTTCAATACTCGACTTCAAAGGATTTTATGAATTTCAAGATTAAATTTTCATGATCATTCCATTAGTAAGGAGACCGAAGATTTTGCTAAAAATTATTTCATTTAAAATCTCCATAAAAAGTATATATAATAAAACACAGTTATTTTGTGTCCATTTTAATATATTCTGGGAGACTAAGGATTCATTCTTTTTTTTTTTTTTTTAGTACCAGGGATCAAAGTCGGGTCCTTGTGCTTGTGCAGCCAGCAGTGAAACCACTGAGCTAAATCCCCAGCCCTCATTCATTTTTCTTAGAGAACTATACATTTTACAACACTAGCAACTGTACTCAACCAGCAGTGGCTTAGTTCCACTTTGTTTTTACTTCTTTTAATGTAGAAATAAGGGCCAAAGAAGTAGAGATTCATTGTCACTCTGAAGGCTTAGTGACACATTAACACAGTAACTGTCAGGGCTGCCCATATGGAGTTTCTATCATGATACTGAACTAGGGCTGAACTCGGTGGATTGTAACAAGATCTCAGGTTTAGAAATCGTAAATTAGAACAGATTTCACTCTTAACAGAGAAGTCTGCCCGTCTTTAAACAAAGTTGCTTCTTTCCTTTCTTCAGGATAAAAAATCATATATTCACTACTTGTGAGAACTAGATGATGTCCAATTTGACGTTATTTGTACAAGTCAGGTTTACCAATTCAAGATCAAGTGTATATAATAAAGTGAAGAAAATCAAATGAAATTACTGGGCCAAACATTGAAAGGTAAAGCTTCCTGATATGAACTTTCATTACATAATTGCTTTTTGTATTTTATGCGGAATTTATATGGATATGTTCCTTTACTACATGTAACAGTTTACAAATCAGAAAGTTTTCTTCAATATTGTTTTTTTTCATGTATTTTTTGTCTTGCAGCAACATTTCCCATTTTTCTGCTTTTATTTATCACTAGCAAGAGGAAAATTAATAATAGTTTTGCTTACTGCTACTAAATGTTTGTCATAAAATTTGATTATATGAATTTGTGTCAAATTTGTATATATACCTCAAGTAATGCTAAGAAGGGTTAACATCTCAGACATTCTGTCTGTAACACTCTAAAAAACAGAATGACACGAACTGGTATGTTTTGGGGAAATGTTTCATTCAGTACCTAAATTTGGGCTGCTAATTGACAATATGCTATATTAATTTTATAAGATTTCCTTTGTCTTTCATAAAGCCAGATGTATCTTTTTCTGTCATGGTAGAGAACAGGAAGACAATAGTATCACAGCTGTTTCCTCTCTCATTCCTAGTGTTTGGGAACTCGTAATCTTTCTTATTAAAAGAAGGGAGAATAGAAGGAACATTGAGTTTTGGAAGGCAACTTTTTAGACTCACTTTTTCTGTTACACAGAAATCATATGCTAATCAAATATAATCATATGTACATATAGTTTTGGGAGAGAAGGTATTATAAAAATCTAACTCTATGTTCTTATATTGCATAAGAAATGGAAAATGATTTTCTGGTCCATAATTACTTATAACTCAGACATTTAAATGTTATGTATTATTATTTTTGTTTTCTTTTTACTGTGCTGGTTATAGAACCCAAGGCTCTGCACATGTTAGGCAAGCACTCTACACTTAGCCACACTCAGTGTTGGCCCTGATATTTAATGATAACATTATCTTCAAGGTCTTTATTAAAACTAATAAGCTGAAACACCAAATAAGCAATTAAACAGATTACTTAAAATTATATTGCTTCAGAGTACTGTGTTTATAATACTCATCTAAATCTTCTAGTCATCCAAATATCTTTAAGGTTTTTCCAGAATGATAAGTAACTGAGAATCTTTCTTACACCTTGATCAATATTTACCTTGGAACTGCTGCCTACACTGGGGGGGAGGGGGTCACCCACGTATTCTTTTCAGTTGTCAATAAAGTTCTTTTATTAAAAAATCTTTACTTTCTCTCTCTCAGGAAAAAAAACTTTTCCATTGTTTAGGTTGTTTTCCAGTACATCAATATTGATTATTTCATAATATGCAGGTATTAACCAGTATGCTAATTTTGAATTCTTTGATTATAAAGCCTAAAGGCAATCACATGCCATGCTTTAAAAAATATTGATCACTGTTTTATGATGAAATGATCTACTTCAATCTTTGGAAAAGATGATCATTCATTCTATAAAATTTGTAATATGGGGGAAAATTAAGTGATATTAGAGTATTTCTATGTGAGTTTGCCAATACAAATATATTTGGACATGTTCAGAGTAGTTGGAGAGACCCAGGTCTTAGCCAACTGTGAGGAGTAAGAGTTTCAAACAGAAAAAGATGTTGATGAATTTTCTTTATAAACCATCTTTGATGTTTCCCTAAATGATCTGGATAGCATAACTAGCAATCACTAGAAATCATTCACACACACACACATGACCACGTGCATACACTCACAAATACACAGCAGGTTTCCTATGGTTAATTGAAAATGGCATGATTCTGGTGCACATATTTGAAGATACAGCCATCCATTTCCCTGGACACAGCATAAAGAGATCAGGGGACACACGATTGTGTTTTGATGTAGGGGTATACCAGATATATCAACTGTCCTATAGGCTTTCTGCTGATGAGAGTGAGTCCACAGAGTGCGTATCTTGGACAAGTCAGATCACCCACTGATGATGAATAGAGACCCGTGGCTAATCAAAAAATATCTAGAATTCACTTTATCTTTCTTCCCATAATATTTTTAAGAGTAAGAAAAATTTACTGAGGGAAAGAAAGCTTCCGTCTAAGAGAAACAAAAGGGGAACAAATAATATTTTTATAGCCTTCCAGTCTTCATCTCCAAAACCTTTTTCTCAAAAGAATTTCTACATGTACTGTTGAAGTCTGGCTAAATTAATCTTTCATCAATATATATTTTTTAATATGTTCATTAGAACTACTACAATCTGCTTGTGGTCTGAATTATATACTTTAGATTCTAAGCCAGTCTATTTTAGTGCAAGTTCCCTTTTCATTCTATTTAGCAGAATTTATCTAACTGCTCAGTCACTGCTCACAGACAAGAGCTCTTTCATGCTGTGACTTACTCCCTAAGAATTATAAGCTCAAAATGAAACAGGTTTAGAGTCTGTAACGAGAATTTGGTGAACACAAACCAAGCAGAAAAGGAAAAATCCCCTTCTCTCTTAATTTATAGCTCTTCTTTGTACTAGCTCTTGCTTACCCTTATAGATATTGATTGAGATGTGTGTGTGTGTGTGTGTGTGTGTGTGTGTGTGTGAGAGAGAGAGAGAGAGAGAGAGAGAGAGAGAGAGAGAGAGATCTTCAGCTTATGGATACAGTATTAAGTACAATCAATAATGAATAACTCCACAAATGACAGGCAACATGTGCTTTCCCATTGGTTGTTCGCACTCCACTGTAAAAGCAAATGTGAATTATGCTTCTATCAAAGGGAAGGAGAAGAAAACAAAGAATGGGCAATCAAATAATAGAAGCAAAAGTTTTGTGTGTACACATTCATTTGTTATCCTCTCTGTGCATTTCTAGCAACTACTTTGCTAGTAACGATTGGTTTTTCACACCTGGAGACCACAAAACCCTACATACGGTCCAGCCTGCAGAGCTAAACGTGAGTATCCACTCTGTTCATCCATTAGGGGCTGAAGATTTCTTCAGCTTAGGCGATTCTTATTTCACCACGTAGGTGGCACATTTCAAGGCCAGTGATAAGGCATACACATATTTCAGTACACAGCAAAAAAAGACAGATATCACACACATAATGTATTAAAACACTAGCAAAGTGCTGAGGTGCACAACCAAAACATCCCATTTTTACTTGCAAGCTAATATATGTTCTTGTGTATAAATTTTCCCCTAGTTCTTTAGAAGTACCCCAATGAATTAGACTAACATTAATAATGTTGTGTCCAGTTATTTTCTGCCACAGGGGACACTTATTCTCTCTTGAAGGAGAAAGGATGTCCCAGCCCACCAGAACAGCCCATTCTACATGCGTGGGCACAGTTGTTTTTTGTCGTTTGTTTGTTTTTTGTTTGAATAGGTATTTTAAACATCCTTTGGATTGAACCTGCTCCTGATCTTAAAATCAGGTTCCTGGTCTTTATTTTGTCAGTTAAACCAATTTTTGGACAACCAATATTTCTGAAATATTTTGGATGTGATGGGTCTATAAGAAAATGAACCTTGGGCCGGGGATTTAGCTCAGTGGTTTCGCCGCCTGCTGCACAAGCGCAAGGACCCGAGTTCAATCCCCAGTACCAAAAAAAAAAAAAAAAAAAGAAAGAAAGAAAAAGAAAATGAACCTAAATTTAACAAAGAGATTGATGAATAAGTCAAAGGGTCCCCTTTGGTGACCTTGAAAAAAATATTGCTATCTCCTGGTATATGTCTATCTATACTTCAGAGTAAGCCTATATGCATATTTCCTTAAAGCTTAGGGATCTGCATTTGGGAAAATAAAGTGAACTCTGCCAAGGGATGGAAGACAGCATAGCAGGAGGTTTATGTAATAAAATAACCTGATATTTTGAAGCTTCAGAGTCTCAATAGATAGCTTATCCACCTCTAAATGAAGGTCACCTCTAGTAAAAAAAAACAAAAACCTGGGATTATTTCTTTAATCATTTTTCATATAGATTGAGAATTATTCAAGGTCAGGATCCAGGTCTTAGATGTGTACCCACAATACCAAAATTAGTATTTAGCACATACCGAGTCTTTAATAGTTATTGTTGAACTAAAATTCCTAACACTCAGAACCAAACATTCTTTTCCAACTATAGAGTATTTAGAAAATTCTCACCTTTTGTGGTCACATTTCATCTAGCCAGTGAAATTTTATTTCAAAAACAGAAAGTAAATTATATGGATATTTACTTCCAAGTGGAATTGAATGTACTTGACAAAGTCATTGTTTTTCAACCTGTGCATTCTACAGAGGATAATCCTAATAAGAAGGGGAAAATAGCACAGAATCCTTTAATACTGATCTGATACTGAAGTCAATTTGTGAAGCAGAACCCAGTAGAGAGGGACACTGTGTCTATAAAGAATACTGTAGCATTTTCTTTCTTAGAATGTAGGAGATCTAATTACCATACTACAAATGAGTTGTGTCCAGGTACAGAAAAACCAACAATATTTTATTTATAATTGTATTTTAAGCTTTTGAACTACAAATTCTGGTTCTAGAGTTGTTTAAAAGTCATGGGTTTTATAGATGTTCATATGTAAATTAATCTGTTGTTTGCTTTTTTCTTTCCATAGAATGGTCCTCCTCATAAATACATAACAGGTCATTACATGAAAAATATAAGATCTTGCAATTTTCCTCATTCTTTCTTAAAAATCTATTTCTAATATTGCATTCCCCATTGGACTACATAAGGGCATGAGGGAAAAAGAAAAAAGGAAAAGGACAGACATGGGAAAGAAGGAGAAGCAGAGGGAAAGAGGGAGAGAGAGAGAGGGAGAGAGGGGCAGAGGGAGAGAGGGACAGGGAGAGAATAGACTGGATCTCACCACTAGAATTCACCATAAAAATCTCAAAGTGTAACAGAATTCTTACAAAATTTCCTAGACCAGTTCTTTAGGGAATTGAGATCTATGAAAAATATGGCAATCAAGGAAGGGAGGGACGAGATGTGGGAAAATAGTAAATAAGTGCAGCAAAAACAGGTTCTGAGGAATACACATAATTTTGTCTGCTTTAGATCACAATAGAATTTTTAATAAATAAATTTCTTTTCTTTTTTCTTTTTTTTGTAAAGACACTTTTTTGAAACAGTAGATTTAGCCCAGTCATTTGTGTCATTTTTAACAAACTGTCTTTTCTTTTCGATTGTTTGTTTTCTGTAACTGTGAATGTTTTAGATTTGAGTCTCTTGTACATTGTCTTTCGAGTTCATTCGGATCAATAACGGTTCATGCACTGAACTGTGTATTGAATTTATTGTGTTAACTGTTGTTGTGTGGTTGAAGGGAGATTTGTAAGAGTTATAGTGATTTAGGTGCTCATGCTCTATCGCAGGCATGGGCAGGTGGCTTTCCATGGGCGTGTCCCCTGTGATCTCATCATCCACGTTGATGATTTCAACAGTCCTCGTTGGAGCATGATGGTTTTGCCGATGGTGCTGCTTCCTCATCTTATAGAAAATGACCAGCATCACTGCCGCCATGAGTGTGATGGCCACAAAACACCCAATGATGATTTTGGTAGTCTTCATGACCTCATCGATTCCTGGGATGCCACTGTTTATATCAGTCACTGGGATGGTGAATGTCTTTTCGGTTGACCTTGTGCTCTGTGGCGTGAGAGAGGTGGTCACATTGGTGGTCTCCCAGTCGATCACTGGAGTGGGGCCCACATTGTTATCTGTGGTCCGCGCTTCATCCTGAGAAGGTTCCATAGTCTCTACTGTGACAGTTGAAAAGTAAGAGAAAGGAGTAGTGGTTGCTGCAGTAACATTCAGGGTGGCCGAAGCGGTAGTATTTCCAACAGAATTACTCACCATACATGTGTACATGCCTGTATCTTGCACGGTTACATTCGTGAAATTTAATGTACCATCGCTGAGCACAGCTATCCGTACCTTGTAAGCCCCATGTGTCATGACTGTCCCATTTGGAGTAATCCAAGATACGGATGTCAGGGATGTGGAAGCGCGACATTTCAGCTCAGCCGCCATGCCTTCAGTGACATTGAGGTCTGCAGGGGGCTCCACAATGACTGGGGCATAGCATGTGAAGTAATTCTGGTCGAGCTCCCCAATGTACCTCCCTTTCAGACTGGGAGGAGTGTTGCACCGGGCACAACAGGCTGTGTTGGAAGGAGCCATGTCTTTTATCCACCAGCTGAGCCACAGTATGTCACAGTTACAGTTCCAAGGGTTGTGATGTAAGTGTATCCTCTCTAGATGATGCAAGGGTGTGAAGAGGTCATGAGGCAGTAATGTTAAATTGTTGTGAGCCAGGTTGATCTCCACTAGGGACTGAAGGTTATCAAAGGCATTCCGTTCAATCACTTGAATCTGGGACTGTATCATCCAGAGTTTTTGAAGGTGCATCAACCCCTGAAAAGAGCCAGGCCTGATTGCAGACAAATGATTCCCAGAAAGATCTAGCTCATCCAGTTTGATAAGTGGTGTGAGGTTAGGGATTTCTCGGAGGTTGCACATGGCAAGGTTCAAATACCTCAAGTTGGAGAGACCTTCAAAGGCACCTTCTGAGATGTACGAAAGCCTTTTCAATTCTCCTAAGTCCAGTCGACGCAAAGAAGGGATTCTGTTAAAAGCATAAGAAGGGATGCTTTCAATGGGGTTGTTTCGTAACCAGAGCTCCTTCAGTTTAGACAAATATACAAAAGCTCCATTCGGGATGGTAGTAAGACGATTGTCAAAGAGTTCCAGAGTGTTGAGGTTGGCCAGACCATTGAAGGCCCCAATTTCAATAGTTCTAATATGGTTCCGACTCAGTTGAAGGATTTCCAAGTGCCTCAAGTGCTTGAAGCTGTTCACTTTGATGATCTGGATTTGGTTTTCATGAAGGTTCAGCAGGCGTGTGTTGGTGGAGATGCCATCGGGAACCTCACGCAGGTTTTTCCGGACGCAAATCACCTTGCTGAACTGGTTGCTGCAGGAGCACACTGAAGGGCAGGTTTGAGCCCGCACCAGACCAGCCACCACAAGAAGTTGAAGAGCCAGGAGCACCACAAGCAGGGGGTCAAATAGGGCCCTGTTAAACCTAGGACCTATCATTATCTGCTGTGGATGTAAGGTCATCTTGTTCAACATTCATAATTTATCTGGTGTTGGTCCTTCTGGAATTCAGACTGTCTGAAAAATAATAAAGCAAGAGAAGAGTATTAGATCTTCCCCAACTGTCTTTATGGAGTAATATCAGTGATATACACTATCAGCTGAAGCCATTATTTGTCAGACTAAAAGAGACAATTCTAATGTCTCTTATTGAATGATGTGGCCCATTATTTAAAAAGCATGTTCGTCTCATCCCAATTAGCAGCTATCACAGTTTCCATTCCATCAGATCTGTAATCATAGAGAATTACACCAACGAGGTAGAGCATCCTAATGTATTTACCAAGTGTGACCCAAATGCACGAGGACATTTGTGATAAACTTCACCATTAGTTTCAGTGTCCATACCAGATTGGAAAATCTCAGAAAACAGGACTTTGAAGGTGCACCTAAAAAACTAAGAGCTCTTTTGCAAAATGAGTAATCTCTGACATATCATAGGAGATTGTTATATGTGCCAGGCCCTATGGGTTACAGAATTCACACAATCTAATTCAGTAATGATTGTATAATTTTCGGGGCCCACTGCAAAATACAAATGTGAGATGACATGTTAAAAATTATTAAGAATTTAAAACCAGTGACAGTAGACCATTAACCAAGAATAAGCCCTTCTTACCACAGGTCACTTCACAACTGCAGGGTGCATACCCATGGAGCTGCCTGTGGCCTTTCTTAATACTTACCCCACTCCTTGGACATAGGAACTGCCATTTGCACAAACTATCATTTGCCAGAGCTTTCTTTCAAGATGAAGAAATGCAATCATAGAAAAAGAAGCATGCAAGACTTTGTATGGTTAGCAAGCAGAACCAGAGCTCAGAGCTCAAAGCTTGCCAGATTAGTCCCAGAGCACAATGATTTCAAACACTCCATGGAAAAGCTGCTGTAAGAACAAAGGTAAATGCAAAATATTTTTCACAGTTAATTTCTTTAAAATATCTGTGCTTAGGGAGTGACTCCAGTTATAAGCACTAGCAACTTAATTTTTACCTGTGAAGACATCCTGAAACAGAAACATGCATATGTGCACATAAACTTCTAGAAATTAACACACACAAAATTCATCAAAATATATCCAACTGCTACCTATAGGCAAACAGGTCACAAATGAAATCATTTCTCAAGAAATGTAATTTTTGTATTCAGAAAAATAATGTAATAGAACAAATATGCTTTGTGTCCTAGTTTTACTGATTTTGAGTAATTTGTAGACAGGAAATAAAATAACTAATATGCTCCATCTTTTCAATACAAGGAGGACTTCCAAAGGAGCAAGTGGTACCCATTATATTTCCCATTCAAATGATTTATTATTGATTGGGCTAAGGTGTAATATTTTCCCTCATCTCAGTCTATATCTTTCATCCCAATAAGCAAGGTCTCTTCTATGAATCTTCTGGCAAGAATAAAAAGAAGTTTGAGTAGTAGCTTATCACATTCTAATAAAAATTCACTAATTTAATACTCATCTTTTGCCATCTTGGGCAACTTACATATTCTTTCTGTGATTCAATCACATCTCCTCTCTTGGAATAGGAGAATCACAATAAGACACACCTCTTAGGGTTGTGAGGATGAGATTGGTTAATACAGCTAAAGAACTTAAATAATGCCTTTTATGTTGTCAGAATACAGTAGATGTTAGATATTATTTCTATTATTATTCTGTTTTTGTTGTTTCTCTTAGCTAGACACATTACACACTAGGCATATAAAGATGAGAAACACAATTCTTGTCCCTGAGAGAATTTTAATTTGAAAGGTGAGACAGGTACCAAATAGATGATGTACAATAACCCATGTTCATTGATATGGGACAAGACTATATCGGTACAAAAATACTAATGTCAGAGTAAATTAATCTGTGCTGGGAAATGGGGAGGGGGTGAAGAAAGAGAGTTAGCTGATGTTGTTTTTGTTAAAATTGATGAAGAACGGAAAAGAAGGAGTTTTAGGTAGACAGATCTACCTGAACCAAGACAAGGACTATGAAATATGCTAGTGTATCCAGGAAGCAGTAAACATTTCTTGTAACAGGAAAACAGGACCGAGCCGAGAAGAGACTCGGAAAGGAAACAGGGGTGCAACTGGCTCTAGGCTGTTGATGACTGATTTCACCTTGCAGGAAACATGTTTTGAAAAAAAAAGTGGTGGTGGGAATGCTATTTTCAGCCTTATTCTCAAGGAGTGGTATCGGGCTAATGCAAATAAAAGCTTGGAAAGAAACTAATAACAAGAGCAAAAGTGAGGAAAATCTTTAAGCTGTTCCCAGTGACCCTTGAGAGAGGACAGTATCAAAAAGAGGGCCACTTTTATGGTCATCATTTCTACGTCTAAAATCGGGGGCTTGAAGAAGAAGGGCAGGCTCCTCTTTAGGATATAACCCTTCCCTGGTTCTGAGATAGCCAATATACCTCAGTATTTATAAACAGCTGCATTTATATTACATATACAATATTGCAAGGAGGCTCTTCTTAATAATAGGAAATGTTTCTCTAGAAAAGCAGCTGTCATTAGCAATTCTTACATTTATACTCAATGCACAAGAATACTGAAAAGGATGTCAATCTGAAGAAGGTGATGTTTAAAGTCCTACATTGCTTTCTATTGAGAGGTGCTTATTTTGGTCTCTTTTTCTATTGTAGCAAAGAAACTTGACCAGTAGCATCTGAGTTACTGTTTATTGCCTTGGGCTCCGCCTGTGTATCTCCTTGCTGTAGCTGCTCTAGGTCAACCCTTCACACCACCCATGATCCTCTGTTCCTGGGCTTGCTTCCTTCACTAGTCTGGAAACTCTGACCACAGAAGTCATGTCTAATGGTCTCCACTTAGCCTTCCACCAACAGAGCCTTCGTACAATAAGTAGTAAGTAAGATGACAACACAAAAGTGCTGAAGAGTTATATCTAATTATAGCTCTTTGCATAGTTAGATGATAGATATGCTCTACAGTTTTAATCACAGCTTATATTTTCTGATCTTTTGATATCTGGGGTCTTATTGATCCAAAAGTGGTAGCCACTCCCAGCCCTACTCTGTTCCTAGAAATAGTAAACCATTTGCCTACCAGCATGACTTTCCTATGCAAACTAACCAATCGAAGAACACCAACCCAAGTTCTCACAGAGTCCTTACATTCAAGTCAGCACCTCACTGCTATCAGTATCCCAGGACAAGGGACCAGGCAGCAAAAAGCAGCCCTGATGCCCCGGATTCTGCCCAAACTGCTATTCTGTCTTCACTTATAAACCACAGTAGAGGCTCTTGTCCCCTCTTTCCTCTGCTGCTTCTTCCTCCTGGTAATTCATGGCATGACCCCTCCTGGTGTGGTATCCTCCCCTGAGAACTGTGAATAGAAAACATTCCTTCACTGCCATCCTCCCCTGATCTGCTGGCCTCAACATACCTGAATACTAATGAAAACTTCAGTGTGAAACAATCATTAAACCACAAGGCCTGAGTGATCACATTAATTCTGAGACCAGGGTTTATAAGTTTATTCCATTGTCCCGTTCATACTATGACAACACCTCTTAGATTGAAAGTTATTGTTCACTGTAAACTTAAATGTGGCCTTAAAAAGTACTTTAGGTTTCTAGTTTTAGTAGAAAGCTATCTACATTTCCAGTGATAATCACCATGGAAAAGTCCTCATTTGTGTGAGAACTTTTAAGTGTATTTACACATGTGTATTTCCTGTGCATAACACACACTTAAGTCTATCAGGCATAAAATGCATGGAAATCCTCTGGTGCACAAAGTAATTAATGTTTTTAGAGTTGGGATCCCAGGACCCTGCACTTCCTTCCTTCTCCCATCCCACACACTGACATCCTCAGAATCTTAGATTCTCTGGCAATATGCATTGAAATAACTGGTTGAATGGAAATAGCAAAGAAATGAAAAATATCAATCTTTACTCTGCCATTTGTTGTTTTTCCTGTTTAATATATGGAAAGATAAAGGCAGCCATTCCCAGTGGCCCAGAGCGAAGGTCAAGCTGTGAGACTTCCTCACACATTCCGTCCACGTCATCCAGAGCTCACATCTCACTCCGAACCTCTGTGATGTTCAAGTTGGAAAGGTGGCTAATCCTTTGTATATCTCACTTTCCTCATCATGGGAAGGACAGCAACCTCACAGTCTATTCAAGTCTTTTGTTAAGACTGCTACATAATATGTGTAGTTGTTACTTCATAATAATCGAAATATAATATTTAGTACATATGAAAAATAAAGTGATAGGCACTCAATTTTTTCCTCTTCTATAAGATAGGAGAAACAATAATATCTTTTGCTCAGTGCTGCAGTACAACAAGCCAATATGGTCAGGAATGTACTATCATTAAAACATATGCAAATATGTTATATTGCTATTACTTATAGGGTACGTGTGTCTCCTCTTTCTCCATGCCCAGAACTAGTTTTATTTTCTACTTCTTGGTTACTTCAAAGTCTTTGTGCCATTGCAATTAATGAGATCTCCTATAAATCAGTCATAAGTAGTGACTTATGAATTACAGCCAGTTCAAAACGAATTTATAACCTACAGCAAACACTTGGCACACTGCACTGCATCAAGTAGACTATTACCAAGAAAAGGTTTTCTACTTTACAATGCAAGTTATGTTACTCTACATCAAAAGCCGTTCTGCAACGTCTCTTTCATGCAACATTTTTATTACATCAGAAGGAAATCAATGTAAGGGTATGCATTCTTCGTTACAATGCCCTCTGATAGCATTTATTCACAAATGGATCTGTGTGGGTTGTGAATTGAACTATTATGCTTTTGTCCTTGTCCCAGAGGGCATCTTGGCTTTGTCAACGGGCCTTTCTGCCATCTTGATCCATGCTTCAGTGCCCTGAGAGCCCAAGGAGAGGCACGTGGGAGCTGCATAAGGACACTTGGCTAATGAGGTTGCTTTACTTAGCATTGTGTTGTTGATGGCTCAGCACAGGCTGTGCCTAGACATCAGAAGTAGTTCGGGAGAGAGGCCAAAGAAAGATGAATTC